AGCGAAGACTGCACTGGTTGGGTAAGCACGACAATAAAGAGTGCAACGCAAATGTTGGCACAAGATCGGGTTATTTTCGTCAATACAAACTAGGTTACACATGCATAAACAATCAAATCAACAAAGTAGTACAAATCCGTCCAAATTATGTTCAGCAAAAGTTTTTGGACATTAGCGAGTTGCGCGACTTTGGCAACGACCAAAGGCACACCTTCTGCAACAGAAGGTGCAACGATGTGTAGCGAGATGATTACTGAGTACAAGGTGTCATAGGAAAAATCTAGCAGGATTAAAATGCGACTTAACGTACCGCATTCATTGGACTTCCGTATGCATTATTTCATAACGAGATACAACACGCGAGGCTAGGAATTCTCGACAATGCAGCAATTTAGAATCTTGGGATCGACACATCAATGGTGCTTCGTCCCGCGTCACACATGTAACGAATTGATCTGTATTATATCTATATTATATACGTAATATATGTAATATATATTGTAACGTACATATCAATACGATCGAAGAAGCGAAAAAAGACATTTGTCGGTATCGAGCGACACACTGCTATTTGGCTAACACAGCACACGATAACTGCAATCAAACGAAAACGATGGGTGCGCGCAGTGGGAGTTGATGAAAAACCAGTCAGTTTATCTGCAGTGTTAATGGTTGGCACAAATCGTTTAAATAGTTACATGAATTGGCACAATGGTTTTATGAGGGACCATAGAAGACCCGATGATCACAACCGGATCGATAAAAGTGCACTAGATAGGTGCTATTCGATAACAATGCATACGATAGTCGTTTTTCTATAAAATTGCACCAAACGATGGGCGACAAAATAGGCAACGGATCATTACAAATGACATTTTGATGCACCAGCGAAGTTCACAATACAACCAAACCGACCCATACCTGAGCTCATTCATACAAATATATGTACATACACACCATGTTCATTACTCTTCGTCTTTCATTCATAAGAACTTGTTTTGGCCTTCTCCCGTCGTCAAGCGTAATGCTCAAAAGAACTGGGGCGTTGGCGTTATCCGCGTAGGTTAAAATGTGGTATACAACGTGCAAAGTAATGGTACGATTCTGCTAGCATTTTTAACCATATTCCGGCTCGACGTTGTCGTAATGTACATTGTCAGCTTTCGGAATCGTTATTTCATGATGGAATGAGACAGTGCTGTGTGTAAATGGCACGTACACAGTTCTGTGTTGTATGTTAAGGAACATCAGAACATCATACACTGGCTCATCAATGCAAAAACAGCAGAGGTCATACTGGAGAGCTGATATAGCGAACAGGCTATATTGATGTTCCTCGTGCAGATGCTTGTACAGAATCGCTACGTCACGACAACAGTGCTAGCATGTAGAGCTTAAATACACCTCAGGCATTCGGCATCTTTCAAAACGTCTACATATATCGCAGCTGGAAGAGTGACGCGCGCTTGTCGACGGCAACGCTCAAAGTGTACGCGAGAATGATTAGCGACAAGGTGGTGTTATGCGTTGACAAAGGCTGATTTTGACTCTTAGGTTATGTATTTACGAATCACAGAGCCGATGATGCTCTGACTCATGTGTATGCGTGGTATTGCTATCGAGGTACGCTTGATTCACTATCAAGTAATACGAGTAGAGGAAAGAAGAGATTGTAGAATGCGGGTCTACCTCGCGTCCCAACGTGCACAATAGTACGCGGCCACAGCAATGTGCTGCGAACAAGAAGTAGCCCACGATACTTCTTGGATACGTGGATGCTTGCTTGTGGCATGTTTAGATTCCCGCGTTGTAGAATCGAAGCATACGGTTTCATAAAATTGATTTGTGTCAACAACTCACCCTGGTGCACATGTACATAGCAATGGTCACATAAGATCTACCCGGTACTTCGAATCGCCGGAAATGCTCAACCTCCGTCAAGTTGCTATGATATGCGAATCAATCATCGACGACATCAATCTTGTACGACGGGATTCTACGCACGTATGTAATCAAGGATAAATGATACATCGCTGGTGCACCTTTGTTTCTGATTATCTGAAGCGTTATCCTCGTTTCATCTTGTGCTGCTTTTATATATTGGGACCATGTGGAACATTTCTTGCTTTGGCTATCGTGGTTATTTCGTGCAATTCATATCACCTTCGAGAACTCGTGTTGACATCGAGCTAGGATACTGCTCCAGCCCACACATCGAAACAATTTGTAAGTGCCGCTTCAATCGGATCGTTAGTCACATAGTAACCATTGAAAGGCAGCTTGCGAGCCTGGCGCAGACTATTGTTGCCGAACAATCGTATGTAGATCATGGGGTTTGCTTCTGCGTTGTGCAGAGGATGCGGAGAGGAGATAATGACGCATCTTATGACAGGTTGTTGCAACATTGGTATTCAGTCATGTTTAGCACTATAGCTCAAACCGTCTTGTTCTGATCAAAAACCGTGATCCATTTGTATCTTTTGCTTACCTAAATTTGACCCATTGTGCAATTTCTCTTGATTTACAAAAAGAGCACAAAAACATCCTTTCCCTAAATTTACGCGCAATATTTAGCACTCATATTTTCCCTTCGAAACAACACAGGCGACGCTGCATGTTGCTGATGGAATGATCGAGTACATGAACGCGTTGGGACGGTAGTCTAGAGCAAATGAGACAATCGAGTGTACCGGTCAAATTCTTCTCGTATTGATATGCATGCCCTGAATCGCATCAAAGCGCACCGGTAAGATCAGGGCCGTCAAAGGCTTCGCTCGTTCGATGTGTTTCGTGATGCTGCAGGAGTTCCAGTTGAGCGAGGTCCAGATGGGGTTGAAGATGCAGCAACAAGGCTGAGGTTTTTGCAAAGCCGTAGTTGTAGTTACTCGTTTTTGTGAAGGGACGTACCGGGAAGAGTGTGCGAGTCAAGATGGCCAGCAACATTCGTCTTTGGAAACTGGATCCAGGCCGGTAGAGAGAAAATCGGCGTGTTCGAGCGGCTAAGGCGATTGAGTTGGCGTGTCGTTTGTAACAAGTTACCCGTACGTCCAGCTGAAGAAAAGGATACCTTGCGATACGAGCTCGCCGAATCCGAACTTCGGCACAAGTTCAACATGCTTGAGGTTGGATTTTCGCGCGGCTTGAAGCCGTCGTTTTACTTGTTACTTTCAGTGGCATGCGAGCCTATGTAACACAGCCAATACAGTAACATGTTTTAGCAGCCGCTGAAGCAACTTCGCTTAAAGAGCGATTTGGCTTTTCTGTGCAACGTCAACACAGATTGACGGCGCCACACTCGTGCCTACTGCATAAAACGTGTCGGCGACGCTATCACTCGAGACCGTTCGCGCATCACTTCGTCACAGATTCATAGCTGAATCGCCAGCTAAACGCGAAACACCAACATGTGATTGCCCTTCCCCACGTCCCGCATATTCCTACGAGGCGACACCAACTTTTGCATCTCAAATCGCATCGCCCTGACAGTGTCGCACCGGCGAACTTGATTTTGGGGTTTGACCTGTGCGGCTTACGCCGGGCATGCTCCCGCCTTCCACTTTTGATCAATAGAATGGGGCCCGTTCAAGGGTGTCAGCGCATGCCGCACATACGAGTGGCAAAGCCATTCCTATACACAAGCACGTTCCCGCTGCAATCAACGACAGTGGCAGGACGTTCTTGCTGTCAACAATGCAGATCTGCATTTATACAGGCGAGCACTTTCACCGAGCCAAACTGCTCCGTAACATTGACGATGATCCCAATGAAGATGCTCCAGTCTGGTTTCGTTGAAGTACTGGCGACGAATCGACAATCATCGGAGGTTTGATGCCACCGATTTCGTGTAAAGACGTGCCGTGGGTTCACTCGTATGGCGACTAGCTTTGTGACCTCGTGAAAGTAAAGTACTGGTGACCTCGTGAAAGTAAACTACCGGTCGTTGTCGGATCATACGCCTACGTGTTTGTATTGGTCCGCGCAATATGGATAGCTATCACGTGGCCTTGCCGTTTTCAGCTCTGCATTCTCAAGTCAAATCGCCAGCGCATATTCTAGATGGGGTTCAGCCCGTTCTCGTCGATTATCATGAAGAGAAAGCGAGAAAGAGCGAATACGTATGCAGTCGATCAGCCGACGCCGGTGCGTTCTCGCCGATAGCCACGACTTCATTAGCGAGTGACGTCGAATGCAGTCGCCGATCTATTGATAATCCTCAAGTGCAGTGCACATTTGCTTCTGCATGTGGTCCGTCTCATGATCTTCGTTAGACCACGAGGGCCCGTGCACGTTTCGACGGAAGCACGAGTTCTGTCACATGCTGCATCCTACAGAACGCGGCCGTATCGATTTATGCTCCGTCGCCTGTCCGTGGCCATCCCTTGCCGATCACACCGAGTGATCCAATCATCATTTCGGTACCTCCACCCCGGCCTGTACAACGCTCCACACGACGACGCGCTAGGATAATGTGCGACACAACTGCACCGTCCTACACTGAGCGGGCACCTTTGTCGTCCCTTCTTCGTTTGAGAGGTAGACACGGGTCCACAACATGTACAGAGCACGGTGCTAAATCATCTATCAGCGAGTGAACAAGTGCACCACCGAGAACCTCAGATGACGCTGTACCTAAAAAGTAGAGGACCGAAAAGGCGGAGCGTGTGATGACACCCAGGCTACCGACTATTGCAAAAGGGCTTGGCGCGCAATTAATACGAGTACATTTTGGCGATTTATCTGCTTGAGCTGTGACAATCGTTTGGCTGGCTCCACAAGGGACTACCTATCTCAAGAGCTGTTAAATTTTTCATATCCGGGTTCGTTGTCCTCATGAGCCGGCGCGCTGCTTCACGTATCAACGTCGTTGGGTAGAGGTCATAAGCCGGTGCGCTGTTTCCCGTATCAACGTCTTTAATTAGAGGCCATTCTCCAAATTGCCTCACAGTGCAGCACTCCCATCATCGGACACGACACAACTTCCATCGATTGGTACCTACGTCATGACCCGCTTCCAACGCATGTACGCTTTCGCCGCAGCACTCGCCTTTGCTGCCAAAAACGCTGCAGGCGCTTTCAAGATTGGCACTCCATCTGGTCTAGGCGTCGGCACCACGGGAGGCGCTGGCGGAAAAGTCGTGTACCCCACTTCGAACGCCGAGCTTATCGCATACCTGAACGACATCAGGCCGTTCGTCGTTGTGCTCAACCGAGCTTTTGACTTTCGCGGCACCCAAGGTACGACCACCGAGATTGGGTGCCGACCGATCGGAACTCGCAAGTGCATGGAGCAGAACAACGGCTTCAAGGGCCAAGATGTGATCCTTCAGCGAGGTGGCATGAGCAACACGGGCGGCTGCACCAACGGCACGGAGGTGATGGTCACGTACGACAACGCTGGAATCCAACGCCTGCTTGTGAGGGACAACAAGACCATCCGTGGCATTGGCAAGAACGGAGTGCTGATAGGTAAGGGACTGACGCTGCAAAACAACATCATTGTCCAGAACATCCATATCACGGAACTAAACCCACACTTGGTGTGGGGTGGCGATGCGATTTACATGGAGGGTTCCAGTGGTGGTACTATTCCGAACCGCAAAGTTTGGCTCGACCACGTGAAGGTGTCTCGAATCGGCCGCCAAATGGTCGTGACGGGCAAGGCTGGTGTGGCTGGAATGACCATCACGAACTCGGAATTCGACGGCAACACGGGCTTTTCGATGTCGTGCAACGGACACCACACGTGGACCTTCCTGTTCTACGGAAAAAAACACGGACATCACCATGCTCAACAATTACGTACATGGAACCTCCGGTCGAACACCCAAAGTCGGCGGTGAGAAAGGTGACAATGTAGTCGTGCACATGGTCAACAACTACTGGGGGAAAAACACGGGTCATTCCATCGATGTCGGCTTGAACGGATACATTCTCGCTGAGGGCAACCACTTCGACAACACAGCTCTGACCCTCGCAATCGGTAAAGAGGAAGGCGCGTTGTATGCATTCGACCGCACTGTCGGTGCTGACCTCTGCCCACGCTATCTGGGTCGTCCGTGCGCGGAGAACGTCTTGGTCAGAAGCAGCCACTTGAAGTCGCGCAATGGGCGCTTGGCTCTTGAGGCGATGAAGGCGTACCCGAACATCGTCGACTACATGTCGAAAACGACGCGCCCTGTCCATGCGCGCGACTTGGCCAAAATGCGGGACCAGACGACCGGAAATTTCGGTGTTGGCAAGTTGGACTGAGTCCGCTGCGTAGTATTCTGTAAACCGCGATGGCGTTGAATACTATCTCGATGTTAAAACTCACTTTGCTTCACATTGTTGATACTGACACTTTCTTAGGGCGTTGTGGTGAGTAATGTACTGTTTACGAAGCTAGACACCTGTACAATGCGAACAACACGCAGTCCTGATCGTAGCATCGTTACCGCTCCGTCATATAGTTGCCCGTATCGATCAAGGGTCGTCGCTTTTGGACAAGATGTGCCCAATTGTAATTTACGCGCGGATGAGTCCAGCTGAAACTACATGCTGCCGCTGATGATGGTCTGGCTGCTCTCATTCCACACGACAGACAACGTCTCAATGGACCTTGTAAGGACTTGTCTGTCTGGTTATTGAACAGCACAGGATCATCGAAGGCTGATATGCCAGTTAAGACCACAATACCAGCTAAGACCACAGTGCCAACTAAGACCACAGTGCCAGCTACGCACATCGTGTTGAAACGCTTGGTACCGTGTTTTCGGTTCTCCTGACGGACAAGGATTTAAGATTATGGTGAGGGAAATGGTGTGACGATACCAACTTTTGTCAAACGCATTGCATGTCAGTAGCCACCCATACGATTTTCGAGTGGTCTAGACATGTAAACGGTATGACCCATTCTCATGTAAACGATACGAGCCACTCGAACATCATACGCGTGGCCTGCTCACGCGACATACGAATCAAACTTTCTGGGCTGTATTTTTCACACGGTCATGGCAGGCTATCGGAAGTTGTTGATCAGACTATTTAAATGATCACGAAGCACAGACAGTAAACGCTAGATGTACTGCTGCATCGATCATTATCGCTTTGTGAAGGAGCACGAGACGAAGAGCCGCAGCGCTGTGCAAACTACGATTTGTGACGCATCACAGAGACCCCCTCCTCGCCTATGTATGAAAATGGATGATGTTGTTCCTGGATGATAGATTCGTTTCCACAGCAAGAACTATAGCACGCATCTCCTCGTTGCAAAAACTCAGCATGCCAAGATCGATGACAAGAACTGCGCTAGTCGTGTCGGTAACATTCTCCGGTTGTACTGTCACAGGCGCATTCATGTTCACCTGGATGTCGTACGCAGTGCGGCCTTCTGCCTTTTCCAGTGAGCGCATCAACTCATCTTCTTCGGCTTCCTTTTGTGCGGTATGGTCAATTGACTCCAAGATCGCCTTTCCATCGATCGGATCATCAGCAAATACCCAGTCTGCTACGGAAGATGTTGCAAATTGCCAAACCCTTTCAAGCTGCTTATCAGATACTAAGCTAACGAATAATGCGCGCAGGAATATTACGAATGCTGGATCAACCATCACACGAATAGGCTCCGAGGTCACACGTACGTTTACCGTGGCTTGTACATCATCATCACTCAACTGCATGAGAACGTCCTATTGGACGTTTCATTGTGCTATAACCTCGCAGATGAAAAATGCGAGATGTTTCGACACCTCATTTGCAATGATCTACCAAAATGCGACGAGTACACTGCTATGATAAAAAGGGTCCGACTAGACCATATCGAGCACATGTAATCGATAATGAGCAATTGTGGTGACGATCGGGATCCATATCGACCGGTCAGTAATATTCACACACGAAACCACACGAAGTGAAGAAACGTGAGCGAAATGCTGTGCTGTTTTAGTCCGATCTTTTCTTTTCATTGGTGATACCAGCCCAGCAGCTTCTATCTGTCACATAAAGTTGACGAGTCATCATGTCATGTTATACCCATGGAGCAAGCGTCAACATATCGTGATCATGCGGTGATTGTGACGACGTAGAGTAACCTGTGTCCTGTTTGATTTCCAGCCACCGTGCGACACATACAAGGAACGCGGGTCAGACACGATATGTACAGCAAACGTACTGACATGACATTGGTTGGGTCCGCAGTTAGAGTCAAGCAACAGGGGCCGTGTCCCATACAACGAGCTTGTGTATTTCGCGCGCCAATATGCACTCTTTACGACCACAAGTTTAGTTGAGCTTCATCGAACCGCGACTTGCATTCTGTATCGAGACAATTAAGCTTCCAGCACCAACAATCATTATAATGACGATGAATGCGGTCGACTCAATCGCCTTCTATCACCAATGCCACTCATGAAAACGTCATGGATCGTTTTGTTTTAGCAATCGGGCGTTGTCACGGAAGGCACAAAATTGGGGGCATACTTGCAAAAATTCGCTGTTCATTTGCGATGAAAATGTGCGTCTGGGCGAAATACCTGTCGGGCATACGGCGGGAGGCATCGTACGTAATTGCTCGCCTTACAAGCGTAAAACAAGTGAGACTATCGATCGATAATGAACAACGAGTATTCAAACAGAACCCCACATTAGGTTCTCATCCTACACGAAAGAGGCCGGATGTTTGGCTAAGTATACGATTTGTCTACGTTTTGCAACGCCGCACGAGACGCCCATCTGGAGAGGACATGATGCCGAAACGATCATGAGAGTACGATGCTGGCTCCGATCATGAGCAAATGATGTAAAAGACGAGTTCTGATAGGATGCAACACTGGTCCTTAGAAGCACCGATTGGTCTACTGGATAGAGTCGAAGCCATGAACGTCACCATGGCATTTAGTCTTCGAGCGAAAAAACCATACATGTATTTAAGGCTACATCTCTTACCTGCGACTTCCCACCACACACAGTAACGCTTGTCGGTATTCTTTGCCATTCTCCATGGACACTAGTGCGACCCCTTCTTGTCGATCTTCTTTGCATTATTATGAACACTTGAATTGTTTTCGTGCAAATGGTTTCTATTTCGATCCATATAACGGCACAAAAATGCCTTGTGTCTGACAACAGGTTGGCGGGTTGTCGTCACCATTGTTGCCTCTATATAGGTTCATATATCATACCAATGATTCGTTTGGATCCGATTCAGGTGTGGACAAAATCAGGTGTGGACCAAAGATCGCCTTTTCCGCGATCGCAAAACAGTGAGTTTGGGTCTCTTGCACTTTGACCACTTAGTGCCACTTAGTGACATATGATCTGCACTCAACGCTTATCGTCATCCATCCCGGTGTCATTGACTGGATAACAGAGCGATATACTTACATACTGCAAACCCTTCTAAGCCTTATCTTAATGTAAAGCTTGAAAATTGCGCTAATTTATTCGCAATATCACGACGTGTGGTTGACGATATCCAAGCAACCGCAGGTTTTCAATCGAACCGTTTACAATATGCCTAATACATTGAGTGAAGCGACTGAAATTCGCTGCACGATATTTTCTGTATTTAAATGTCTCCAATAAAACAAAAGCCATTCTTAGACGATGGTATTGAGATCTCAATGTCACTTCGATTATCAAGGTAAGGCCTTCAAGAGCAAGAATTCTATAATTATAACCTAGCTTTGTTACGTTATGGAATCAGATCGATGTGGTAAGTTTTTTCGATTGAAGCGATAGCGAAACGGGTGATTGTGTGAAAAAACTATACAAATTCCGGACTGTTCATTCCTTCGCTATTCCGGGATGGTAAGCGCACTTTGTGCTTATGGTCAAGCCGCGTGGTTCACTAAATGACTGAAAGAATGATATTGATACACATGGTGTTGTTGTAATTATGAATCTTTGCCTGTCTTGTTCCATCGAATGGATACAAATTCATTTACTCGCAAGGAATTCGGGACAGACGGCTAGATGATTGGTCAGACTGGAGAAATCACGAAAGAGTCGTTTGAACACTGCATGAGTACTGAGAAAGCACTAGCCTTCACGCTTCCGGTTTATCGGGCAGCTACGTCGGATTCGTATTTATTCACAATTGTCTTTTACGTCGCGAATGCATACTTGTCTCATATTATCTCCGTACGTTATCGTTTGATTTCTGATGTATGGTTGTAACAGCCGAAACACACAGTCATTGATCTTGCACCCTCGTTTAGCCTTTGCCGTCATTAGCGCTATTATCATTACCAAGGCATCCAATAGGTTTCCTATCGACGAATATATATTCACTTTATGAGCTGAGTCGCATTCAGAATACAAAGTTTGAGTAAGCACAGTCGCCAAAATATATGCTCCACTTGCAGACACAGCATCATTGAGTGCTGAACGCCCATACTTTATACACTGATATACAATTGAATTGACATTTAATAAGGAATGAATGAGTACGAGCCCAACGACAACTAAGATCATTGGTTCCCTGACGACCTTACAGTGTTACCCTCATTCAAAGTATCGCATGGGCGAAGATTCGTTTGCATTTGATGCAAATCTCGCACAGGGCCTTGAGCGAATCCGTGCGAAAGAAAAATATTATCATGGATTACGATAGAGTGCACATTTCGAAGAGTGTAAGAATCATGGTCATACGGCAGGTATCACTTGTTTCAAATCATGAAGCCTCTAAATTTCCGGTCTTTGACTTCCGTATAGGAGTACCTACGGTAGCGTTATTTGAGTATACCACACACTTTGTATATACTGAGCACTATCTACTGTTGTATAATGTGTTTGTACAGCGCTTCAATGAATGCAAATTGGCATTTCCAGACAGTTAAGTATCACGAGCCGCCTACAAGGTAACGAACGTTCTCGAGCCGTCATGAACGGGTATGAAGACCGTTTCAACCTATATATCGCCTATTTCCTGAAAGACTCACCTCTATTACAGAAGAATGGTGTGGCTAAAACTTAAAAAGGGTTCATTACATTTTGCTGATCAAAGAGCGGATAAAATCGGTGGAAAAAGTGCATTTAGACTGAAGGATTAATATCAATCACGTTATGTAGCAAGGGGATCGTCGATGATGCGATGTATCAGCCATATTTATCAATACTGCCATAAACGTAAGACGTGGCAATACATCTATGGAACCTCCATACCATCCACTTATCATTACTTCTTCTCATAGCGCTGCAAGTAGGATAGATAGCTGACCTACACCGAAAACACTTGCATTGATGGACAGGGCATCTGTGCGTTTGACCAA